CGAATAATCGCACCAACTGTTGTCACCTTCTCACCAAGCTGCTTGGCAATGGTCTTGTAGCCCATTCCAGCCTTGTGTAGGTCTACAATATTATCCCTGACATCGTTGGAGAGCTCTTTGGTCTTGGCCATGGTGGAGAGTTTGGAATCTGATTGATTGCTTCTGTGGAAAGGTGTCTTTTATACAGGTAACAAGCTGAGATTAGAAGCACTCCCTTTAAGCGTGTGCTCCTAATCTCAGCTCATTGCCTGTATAAAAGACACCTGGGAGCCAGAAATCTTTTTGATTGAGAGGGGGTCAAATACTTATTTCCTTCATTAAAATGCAAATCAATTGATAACATTTTTGACATTAGTTTTTCTGGATTTTCTCGTTGTTATTATGTCTCTCACTGTTCAAATAAATCGACCATTAAAATTGTAGACTGATCATTTCATTGTCAGTGGGCAAACGTTCACAATCAGCAGGGGATCAAATACTTTTTTCCCTGACTGTACATAGTGATGGACCATCAGATGCGAGCCCATGTCCTTGACACCAGGACCTACCGTGGAGCTGATCTGCCCGCTGACCATCGACTAGTCATCTGTAAGATGTGCCTGCCATTCTTCCATTCTGGTGGTGGGTGTATACCCAGGACCCCATTCCAACCTAAAGTGGCCTGGTCTCAGTTATCTGATGAAAGTTGCAAGCGAGAATTTCATCATCGTTTGCGGCTGGGATTGGAATCGTACCTCACTCCTCCTGTTGTCGAGGGTAAATGGGCGAGATTTAGGACTGTGACTCATGTAGCTGCTTTGGGTACACGGTCCAGACCTCCCTAGAGACCCTGGCTGACATAAGAGGTGTTCAGGATAGTTGAGAAAAAGCGACAGGCCCACTGTCATTGGCTACAGAATCCCACATCAGAGAATGAGGAGGCTTACCGCAGCCTTCGCTCGGAGGTTCGGAGAGCCGTGAGGTGCTGTAAGTATGGGTGGTGGTCGCGGGTTGCTGAGGAGATGGAGTCTGCCTCAGTGGCCCGCGATCACAAATCTCTATTTAACTCCATCAAAAAAGTAACCTTCAGCGCCACACCCATTACCATCATTAGGGGAAAAAACGGTGATCCAATCTCCGACCCCCATGAACAGGTTTGCAGATTTGCTGAGCATTTCTGTGAGGTCCCGGGGGAGGGGAAATCCCTCAGCCAGGAAAACATCGTGGCGCAAAGTGGGGATGACCCTGCTGAGGCTGCGGTGCCTCAAATATTGGAAGAAGTCACCCCCTGTGAGTGGCTGGCTGAGGTGCCATCTGTTGAGGAAGTACTGAAGGCGATCCGGAGTCTGAGACCAGGAAAGGCAGCGGGCAGAGATGATCTCCTAAGCGAAATGCTGAGGGAGGGTGGCGTTTGTGCACAGACTGCCCTACATGACATCATAACAACAGTCTGGACCACTGGACAGGTTCCACAGGATTGGAATGATGCCCTGGTGGTCCCCCTTTTTAAGAAGGGGGACCGCACAGACTGTAACAACTACAGGGGCATCTCACTCCTCAGTGTGCCGGGAAAGGTCCTGGCAAGGATTATTCAACATCGCCTTGCCAGGCACGCTGAGGAGAGGCTTGTGGAGCCCCAATGCGGTTTCAGGAAACGGCGGTCCTGCACAGATGCCATATTTTCTGTCCGTTTGCTACAGCAGAGGTGTAGGGAATTCCAGCAAGACCTGCATCTGTGCTTTATTGACCTGGTCAAGGCCTATGATACCATCAGTCGGCCTGGGCTCTGGGTTGTTATTCGTGCTTTTGGAGTCCCTGACCCTCTGCTCACGATCATTGAGGACCTTTTTGATGGTGAGCGGGCCCGGGTAAAACTACGTGGCCGGGAGTCAGAGCCATTCCCTGTACACCTTGGGGTGCGACAGGGATGTCCTCTGGCTCCCACATTATTTAACATCTATTTTGACCATGTAGTTTGTGAAGCCTTCAATCGCTGTACCGGGGGAATCTCCATATGGTACAGATATAATGGGAGGCTGATGGATGCCCGGGTGCGGTCAAGGGATGACTCCCTATTGCTCAACCACGTTATGTATGCCGATGATTTGGTGCTCATTCAGAGGAGGAGTTGGAGACACTTCTGCTGAGACTGGAGCGTTCCACTAAGAGATGGGGCCTTACTATCAGCCCCACCAAAACTAAGCACCTGCCTGGGTATTTTGTACCATCGGACACTCCACCCCCACAACTCCAAATCGGTGATAGGGCAGTTGTGGAGAGAGTGGAGAGTTTCCCATACCTGGACAGTGTGCTTATGACCGGCTCCAGTTTAACAGCAGAGGTCTCCGAATCAGTCGAGCGGCAATATCTTTTCATCGGTTGCGTAACGCTGTGTGGAAGCTACCTGGTCTGTCGCTCCGCACTAAGCTTCAGGTCTTCTCGGCCACGGTCATTCCCTCCCTTCTCTACGCTTGCGAAACGTGGACCCCCCTAATGGAACATCTTCGCCGGTTAGAAACATTTAGGCTGGCCTGCCTACGATCCATCCTGGGTTTAACCAGACTGGATTGTGTGAGGAGCTCACAAATCCTTGAAAGATCTGGGCAGGGTCCCATCGGTGAGCTCCTCTGGCAGGCAAGGCTGCGATGGCTGGGTCATGTAGCCCGCATGCCCAGCCACCGCATGCCGAAACAGCTTTTGTTCGGCCGGATTGAGGGGGCTAAGCGGGCGCGGCACGGGCTAGAGAAGAGATGGAGTGATGTGGTACGGGAGGACGTGGAGCTGAGTGGACTTGCCGATGATTGGTACCAGCAGTGTCAAGATCGGCCTCTGTGGAGGAGGCTCGTGAAGGATGCTACTGGGCAATTGGAGGCAGTCGCCCTCCAACAACAACGGAGGGCGGAGGAGCGACGCTCACAACAACGAGCGGAGCGCCGGGTAGCTAAAGCACAGCAGGTTGGCACGGTAGGGGGCACAGGTGGTGCATCAGCCAGTCATCTCAGTCAGTCGACCCGTGGCACCTGGGTCTGCCCCGTGACCTCCTCCCAGCGGACGTTCGACACTTCACGTGGCCTCAAGGTGCACATGGCCTGGCACAAGCGTCGTGGTGACGTCACCGCCACTTAGTGGCGAATGGCGGTTGTTGTTGTGTGTCTGTGTGTCTGTGTCTATGTGTGTGTCTATGTGTGTCTATTTGTCTATCTTTGTGTCTATCTGTGTGTCTATGTGTGTGTGTGTATGTGTATGTGTGTCTATGTGTGTGTGTGTATGTGTGTGTGTGGCTGTGTGTGTCTGTGTGTCTAAGTGTGTGTCTGTGTGTGTGTCTGTGTATGTCTGTGTGTGTGTGTGTGTCTATGTGTGTGTGTCTGTGTGTGTGTGTCTGTGTCTATGTGTGTGTGTGTCTGTGTGTGTGTGTGTATGTGTATGTGTGTCTATGTGTGTGTGTGTATGTGTGTGTGTGGCTGTGTGTGTCTGTGTGTCTAAGTGTGTGTCTGTGTGTGTGTCTGTGTATGTCTGTGTGTGTGTGTGTGTCTATGTGTGTGTGTCTGTGTGTGTGTGTCTGTGTCTATGTGTGTGTGTGTCTGTGTGTGTGTGTGTCTATCTGTGTGTCTTAAGTGTGTGTGTGTCTGTGTGTGTGTCTGTGTGTTTGTGTGTGTGTGTGTTTGTGTCTGTGTGTGTGTGTCTGTGTGTGTGTGTCTGTGTCTATGTGTGTGTGTGTCTGTGTGTGTGTGTGTCTATCTGTGTGTCTTAAGTGTGTGTGTGTCTGTGTGTCTATGTGTGTCTGTGTGTGTGTCTATGTGTGTGTGTCTATGTGTGTCTAAGTGTGTGTGTCTGTGTGTGTGTAAGTAGAAGAGTGCTCGCTATCTGAGGATGGAGTTGCCAGTACGTCTGGCTCACCAGATCAGCGACTTGAGGAACATTCCCTTCATGTCCGCCTGTCACCCGGCCCTGCTGTGTGTGGTGAGCAGCGGCCCCACTCCAGAGTCCCTGTGGGTCTCTGTGGGTCTCTGTGGGTCTCTGTGGGTGTCTGTGGGTCTCTGTGGGTCTCTGTGGGTGTCTAAGGGTCTCTATGGGTCTCTGTGGGTCTCTGTGGGTGTGGGTCTCTGTGGGTCTCTGTGAGTGTGGGTCTCTGTGGGTCTCTGTGAGTGTGGGTCTCTGTGGGTCTCTTTGGGTCTCTATGAGTGTGGGTCTCTGTGGGTCTGGGTCTCTGTGGGTCTCTATGAGTCTCTGTGGGTCTCTATAAGTCTGGGTCTCTGTGGTTCTCTGTGGGTCTGGGTCTCTGTGGTTCTCTATGAGTGTGGGTCTCTATGAGTGTGGGTCTCTGTGGGTCTCTATGAGTGTGGGTCTCTGTGGGTCTCTATGAGTGTGGGTCTCTGTGGGTCTCTGTGAGTGTGGGTCTCTGTGGGTCTCTATGAGTGTGGGTCTCTGTGGGTCTCTATGAGTCTCTGTGGGTCTCTATGAGTGTGGGTCTCTGTGGGTCTCTATGAGTGTGGGTCTCTGTGGGTCTCTGTGAGTGTGGGTCTCTGTGGGTCTCTATGAGTGTGGGTCTCTGTGGGTCTCTATGAGTCTCTGTGGGTCTCTATGAGTGTGGGTCTCTGTGGGTCTCTATGAGTGTGGGTCTCTGTGGGTCTCTGTGGGTCTCTATGAGTCTGGGTCTCTGTGGGTCTCTATGAGTGTGGGTCTCTTTGGGTCTCTATGAGTGTGGGTCTCTGTGGGTCTCTATGAGTGTGGGTCTCTTTGGGTCTCTATGAGTGTGGGTCTCTGTGGGTCTCTGTGAGTCTGGGTCTCTGTGAGTCTCTATGAGTCTGGGTCTCTGTGGGTCTCTATGAGTCTGGGTCTCTGTGGGTCTCTATGAGTCTGGGTCTCTGTGAGTCTCTATGAGTCTGGGTCTCTGTGGGTCTCTATGAGTCTCTGTGCTGGTGGCCAGGCCGCTCGTCAGCTGGGGGGGGGGGGGGGGGGGTGGGGGGGGCCGAGTGGCCCCCCCCAATGAGCCGATCGAAATCTCCAATTTCATGAAAGCTTGTCTTTTTAAAAGTAACTGGTAATTTTTTAATTGTAACTCATTTCGTTTCAGCACGAGTCTTACATCCGCAGTTTCCAGTGTCTGTCCGACTTCCCTCCGGTGAGTCGGACGGACCTGGCTGGTGGTGGTGGAGGTGGTGGTGGTGGTGGTGGCGGTGGCGGTGGTGGTGGTGGTGGAGGTGGTGGTGGAGGTGGTGGTGGTGGTGGTGGAGGTGGTGGTGGTGGTGGTGGAGGTGGTGGTGGAGGTGGTGGTGGTGGTGTGGTGGTGGTGGTGGTAGTGTTGCGGTGGTGGTGGCGGTGGTGGTGGTGGAGGTGGTGGTGGTGGTGGTGGAGGTGGTGGTGGTGGTGGAGGTGGTGGTGGTGGAGGTGGTGATGGTGGTGGTGGCGGTGGTGTGGTGGTGGTGGTGGTGGTGATGGTGATGATGGTTGTGGTCGTGAAGATGATGGTTGTGGTCGTGATGATGATGATAATGATGGTTGTGATGGTGATGATTGTGTTGTTGTTGTGGTTGTTTTGGGTGTTGGGATTGTTGTGTTTGTGGTTGTTGTGATGATTGTGGTGGTTGTTGATGTGGTTGTTGTGATTGTGGTGGTTGTGGTTGTTCTGATGATTGTGGTTGTTGATGTGGTTGTTGTTATTGTGGTGTTTGTGGTTGTTATGATGATTGTGGTGGTTGTTGATGTGGTTGTTGTGATTGTGGTGGTTGTGGTTGTTATGCTCATGAATGTTGTTGTGGTTATAATTGTGGTTGTTGTGGTGGTTGTTGTTGGTGTGATGGTTGTTGTGGTTGTTTTGGTGGTTGTGGTTGTTGTGGTGGTTGTGGTTCTGAAGATAGTGGTTGTTGTGGTTGTTGTGGTGGTTGTGGTTGTTCTGGTGGTTGTGGTTGTTGTGGTTGTTGTGGTTTTGAAGATTGTGGTTGTTGTGGTTGTTGTGGTGGCTGTGGTTCTGAAGGTTGTGGTTGTTGTGGTGGTTGTTGTGGTTGTTGTGGTTGTTGTGGTGGTTGTGGTTCTGAAGGTTGTGGTTGTTGTGGTGGTTGTTGTGGTTGTTGTGGTGGTTGTGGTGGTTGTGGTTCTGAAGGTTGTGGTTGTTGTGGTTGTGGTGATTGTAGTGGTTGTGGTTGTTGTGGTTGTAGTGGTTGTTGTGGTTGTGGTGATTGTAGTGGTTGTGGTTGTTGTGGTTGTTGTGGTGGGTGTGGTTCTGAAGGTTGTGGTTGTTGTGGTTGTGGTGATTGTCGTGGTTGTGGTTGTTGTGGTTGTTGTGGTGGTTGTGGTTCTGAAGGTTGTGGTTGTTGTGGTTGTGGTTGTAGTGGTTGTTGTGGTTGTGGTTGTTGTGGTTGTTGTAGTGGTCGTGGTTGTTGTGGTTGTTGTAGTGGTCGTGGTTGTTGTAGTGGTTGTGGTTGTTGTGGTTGTTGTGGTGGTTGTGGTTGTTGTAGTGGTTGTGGTTGTTGTGGTTGTTGTGGTGGTTGTGGTTGTTGTAGTGGTTGTTGTGGTTGTTGTGGTTGTGGTTGTTGTGGTGTAGATCGTGGACCTGGAGGGGGAGTCTCGCTACACGGAGCTGCTCCAGCATCTCCTCCATGAGCACAGAGACACAGCGACACTGCTGCTACGCGGAGTGCGAGACACAAAGAGACAGGTACAGACACACACACAGACACACACAGTCACACACACAGACACACACACACAGACACACAGACACACACAGACACACACAGTCACACACACAGACACACACAGACACACACACACAGACACACACAGACACACACACAGACACACACAGACACACACACACAGACACAGAGACACACACACAGTCACACACACACACACAGTCACACACAGACACACACACACACAGACACACAGACACATACACAGTCACACACACACACACAAACACACAGACACACACACAGACACAAACAGACACACAGACACACACACAGACACACACAGACACACACACAGACACACACACGCACAGTCACACACACAGACACACAACAACAACAACAACCGCCATTCGCCACTAAGTGGCGGTGACGTCACCACGACGCTTGTGCCAGGCCATGTGCACCTTGAGGCCACGTGAAGTGTCGAACGCCCGCTGGCAGGAGGTCACGGGCAGACCCAGCAGGTGCCACGGGTCGACTGACTGAGATGACTGCTGGCTGATGCACCACCTGTGCCCGCTACTGTGCCAACCCGCTGTGCTTTAGCCACCCGGCGCTCCGCTCGTTGTTGTGACCGTCGCTCCTCCGCCCTCCGTTGTTGTTGGAGGGCGACTGCCTCCAACTGCCCAGTAGCAGCGTCCATCACGAGCCTCCTCCACAGAAGCCGATCTTGACACCGCTGGTACCAGTCATCGGCAAGTCCACTCAGCTCCACGTCCTCCTGTACCACATCACTCCATCTCTTCTCTAGCCCGTGCCGCGCCCGTTTAGGCCCTCGATACGGCCGAACAAAAGCTGTTTCAGCATGCGGTGGCTGGGCATGGGGGCTACATGACCCAGCCAACGCAGCCTTGCCTGCCGGAGGAGCTCACCGATGGGACCTTGCCCAGATCTTTCAAGGATTTGTGAGCTCCTCATACAAGCCAGCCTGGTTAAACTCAGGATGGATCGTAGGCAGGCCAGCCTAAATGTTTCTAACCGGCGAAGATGTTCCATTAGGGGGGTCCACGTTTCGCAAGCATAGAGAAGGGAGGGAATGACCGTGGCCGAGAAGACCTGAAGCTTAGTGCGGAGCGACAGACCAGGTAGCTTCCACACAGCGTTACGCAACCGATGAAAAGATATTGCCGCTCGACTGATTCGGAGTGAGACCTCTGCTGTTAAACTGGAGCCAGTCATGAGCACACTGCCACACTCTCTCCACAACTGCCCCATCACCGATTGGGAGTAGTGGGGGTGGTGTGTCCGATGGTACAAAATACCCAGGCAGGTGCTCAGTTTTGGTTGGGCTGATGGTAAGGCCCCATCTCTTAGTGGCACGCTCCAGTCTCAGCAGCAGCGTCTCCAACTCCTCTGAATGAGCAGCTATTACCAAATCATCGGCATACATAACGTGGTTGAGCAATAGGGAGCCATCCCTTGACCGCACCCGGGCATCGATCAGCCTCCCATTATATCTGTACCCTATGGAGATTCCCCCGGTACAGCTATTGAAGGCTTCACGAACTACGTGGTCAAAATAGATGTTAAATAATGTGGGAGCCAGAGGACATCCCTGTCGCACCCCAAGGTGTACAGGGAATGGCTCTGACTCCCGGCCACGTAGTTTTACCCGGGCCCGCTCACCATCATGAAGGTCCTTAATGATCGTGAGCAGAGAGTCAGGGACTCCAAAAGCACGAAGAACAACCCAGAGCCCAGGCCGACTAATGGTATCATAGGCCTTGACCAGGTCAATAAAGCAGAGATGTAGGTCTTGCTGGAATTCCCTACACCTCTGCTGTAGCAGACGGACAGAAAATATGCCATCTGTGCAGGACCGCCCTTTCCTGAAACTGCATTGGGGCTCCGCAAGCCTCTCCTCAGCGTGCCTGGCAAGGCGATGCTGAATAATCCTTGCCAGGACCTTTCCCAGCACACTGAGGAGTGAGATGCCCCTGTAGTTGTTACAGTCTGTGCGGTCCCCTTTCTTAAAGAGGGGGACCACCAGGTCATCCTTCCAATCCTGCGGAACCCGTCCAGTGGTCCAGACTGTTGTTATGATGTCATATTGGGCAGTCTGTGCACAAACGCCACCCTCCCTCAGCATTTCGCTTGGGAGATCATCTCTGCCCGCTGCCTTTCCTGGTCTTGGACTCCGGATCGCCTTCAGTACTTCCTCAACAGATGGCACTTCAGCCATTCACTCACAGGGGGTGACTTCTTCCAATATTTGAGGCACTGCAGCCTCAGCAGGGTCATCCTCACTTTGTGCCACGATGTTTTCCTGGCTGAGGGATTTTCCCTCCCCCAGGACCTCACAGAAATGCTCAGCAAATCTGCAAACCTGTTCCTGGGGGTCGGAGATTGGATCACCGTTTTTTTCCCCTAATGATGGTAATAGGTGTGGCGTGCAGGTTACTTTTTTGATGGAGTTAAATAGAGATTTGTGATCGCGGGCCACTGAGGCAGACTCCATCTCCTCAGCAACCCGCGACCACCACCCATCCTTGCAGCGCCTCACGGCTTTCCAAACCTCCGAGCGAAGGCTGCGGTAAGCTTCCACATTCTCTGACGTGGGATTCTGTAGCCGATGACAGTGGGCCTGTCGCTTTTTTCTCAACCATCCTGAACACCTCCTCTGTCAGCCAGGGTCTCTGGGGAGGTCTGGACCGCGTACCCAAAGCAGCCATTGCAGCTGCATGAGTCACAGTCCTAAACCTCGCCCATTTACCCTCGACATCAGGAGGAGTGGGGGACGATGCCAACCGCAGCCGCAAGCGATGATGAAATTCTCGCTTGCAACTTTCATCAGATAACTGAGATTAGGCCACCTTGGGTTTGAATGGGGTCCTGGGTGTACACCCACCACCGGAGTGATTGTTGTAGTAGTTGTTGTATTTGTTGTTGTTGTTGTTATAGTTGTTGTGGTAGTTGTTGTTGTAGTTGTTGTATTTGTTGTTGTTGTTGTTATAGTTGTTGTGGTAGTTGTTGTTGTAGTTGTATTTGTTGTAGTTGTTGATATTGTTGTTGTTTTAGTTGTTGTTGTAGTAGTATTTGTTGTAGTTGTTGTACTAGTTGTATTTGTTGTTGTTGTAGTTGTTGATGTTGTTGTGATTGTTGTTGTTGTTGTAGTTGTATTTGTTGTAGTTGTTGTTATTGTTGTTGTGGTTGTATTTGTTGTAGTATTTGTTGTTGTTATAGTTGTTGTTGATGTTGTTGTATTTGTTGTAGTTGTTGATATTGTTGTTGTAGTAGTATTTGTTGTAGTTGTTGTTGTAGTTGTTGATGTTGTTGTAGTAGTTGTATTTGTTGTTGTAGTTGTTGTTGTTGTAGTTGTTGATGTTGTTGTGATTGTTGTTGTTGTTGTTGTAGTTGTTGTTGTATTTGTTGTAGTTGTTGTTATTGTTGTTGTTGTTGTATTTGTTGGTGTTGTTGTGATTGTTGTTGTTGTGGTTGTATTTGTTGTAGTATTTGTTGTTTTTGTTGTTGTTATAGTTGTCGTTGATGTTGTTGTATTTGTTGTTGTTGTTGTTGTAGTTGTTGATGTTGTTGTGATTGTTGATGTTGTAGTTGTTGTTGTAGTTGTTGATGTATTTGTTGTTGTTATAGTTGTTGTGGTAATTGTTGTTGTATTTGTTGTAGTTGTTGATATTGTTGTTGTTATAGTTGTTGTAGTTGTTGATGTTGTTGTGATTGTTGTTGTTGTTGTAGTTGTTGTATTTGTTGTAGTTGTTGTTATTGTTGTTGTGGTTGTATTTGTTGTAGTATTTGTTGTTGTTGATGTTGTTGTATTTGTTGTTGTTGTAGTTGTTGATGTTGTTGTGATTGTTGATGTTGTATTTGTTGTAGTATTTGTTGTTGTTATAGTTGTTGTTGATGTTGTTGTATTTGTTGTTGTGGTTGTATTTGTTGTAGTATTTGTTGTTGTTATAGTTGTTGATGTTGTTGTAGTTGTTGATGTTGTTGTGATTGTTGATGTTGTAGTTGTTGTTGTAGTTGTTGTTGTTGTTGTTATAGTTGTTGTTGATGTTGTTGTATTTGTTGTTGTTGTTGTAGTTGTTGATGTTGTTGTGATTGTTGATGTTGTAGTTGTTGTAGTTGTTGTTGTATTTGTTGTAGTATTTGTTGTTGTTGTTATAGTTGTTGTTGATGTTGTTGTGATTGTTGATGTTGTTGTTGTTATTGTTGTTGTTATTGTAGTTGTATTTGTTGTGATTGTTGTTGTTGTTATTGTTGTTGTTATTGTAGTTGTATTTGTTGTGATTGTTGTTGTTGTTGTCAGGCCCAGCAGGAGGATCTCCGCACGTTCCTGGACCGGGTACTCACCGCCCGGCTGGGCATGCGAATCCTGGTGTCTCATCACTTGGCACTGCACGTGGACACGGTGGGGGGAGATAGTGGGGGGGAGATGGTGGGGGGAGATGGTGGGGGGAGATGGTGGGGGGAGATGGTGGGGGGATGGTGGGGGGATGGTGTCTCATCACTTGGCACTGCACGTGGACACGGTGGGGGGAGATGGTGGGGGGAGATGGTGGGGGGAGATGGTGGGGGGAGATGGTGGGGGGAGATGGTGGGGGGAGATGGTGGGGGGAGGGTGTCTCATCACTTGGCACTGCACGTGGACACGGTGGGGGGAGATGGTGGGGGGAGATGGTGGGGGGAGATGGTGGGGGGAGATGGTGGGGGGAGATGGTGGGGGGAGGGTGTCTCATCACCTGGCACTGCACGTGGACACGGTGGGGGGAGATGGTGGGGGGAGATGGTGGGGGGATGGTGGGGGGGAGATGGTGGGGGGAGGTGGTGGGGGGAGTGGGGGGAGATGGTGGGGGGAGATGGTGGGGGGAGATGGTGGGGGGAGATGGTGGGGGGAGATGGTGGGGGGAGATGGTGGGGGGAGGGTGTCTCATCACCTGGCACTGCACGTGGACACGGTGGGGGGAGATGGTGGGGGGAGATGGTGGGGGGAGATGGTGGGGGGAGATGGTGGGGGGAGATGGTGGGGGGAGATGGTGGGGGGAGATGGTGGGGGGAGATGGTGGGGGGAGGGTGTCTCATCACCTGGCACTGCACGTGGACACGGTGGGGGGAGATGGTGGGGGGAGATGGTGGGGGGAGATGGTGGGGGGCGATGGTGGGGGGAGATGGTGGGGGGAGATGGTGGGGGGAGATGGTGGGGGGAGATGGTGGGGGGAGGGTGTCTCATCACCTGGCACTGCACGTGGACACGGTGGGGGGAGATGGTGCGGGGAGATGGTGGGGGGAGATGGTGGGGGGAGATGGTGGGGGAGATGGTGGGGGGAGATGGTGTCTCATCACCTAGTGCTGCACGTGGACATGGTGGGGGGAGATGGTGGGGGGAGATGGTGGGGGGAGATGGTGGGGGGAGATGGTGGGGGGAGATGGTGGGGGGGGATGGTGGGGGGAGATGGTGGGGGGGGAGATAATGGGGATAGTGGGGGGAGATGGTGGGGGGGAGATGGTGGGGGGTGATTGATCCATCACACAAGTACCATGTGACCCTGTGTCATGTGACTCTGTGTCATGTGACTCTGTCATGTGACTCTGTGTCATGTGACTCTGTGTCATGTGACCCTGTCGTGTGACCCTGTCGTGTGACTCTGTATCATGTGACCGTGTCATGTGACCCTGTCGTGTGACACTGTCGTGTGACTCTTGTCATGTGACCCTGTCATGTGACTGTATCATGTGACCGTGTCATGTGACCCTGTCATGTGACCCTGTCATGTGACCGTGTCATGTGACCGTGTCATGTGACCCTGTCATGTGACCCTGTCATGTGACCCTGTCTCATGTGACTCTGTATCATGTGACTCTGTATCATGTGACTCTGTATCATGTGACTCTGTATCATGTGACCGTGTCATGTGACCGTGTCATGTGACCGTGTCATGTGACCGTGTCATGTGACCGTGTCATGTGACTCTGTGTCATGTGACTCTGTCATGTGACCTGTCAAGTGACTCTGTGTCATGTGACTCTGTGTCATGTGACTCTGTCATGTGACTCTGTGTCATGTGACTCTGTGTCATGTGACCCTGTCGTGTGACCCTGTCGTGTGACTCTGTATCATGTGACCGTGTCATGTGACCCTGTCGTGTGACACTGTCGTGTGACTCTTGTCATGTGACCCTGTCATGTGACTGTATCATGTGACCGTGTCATGTGACCCTGTCATGTGACCCTGTCATGTGACCGTGTCATGTGACCGTGTCATGTGACCCTGTCATGTGACCCTGTCATGTGACCCTGTCTCATGTGACTCTGTATCATGTGACTCTGTATCATGTGACTCTGTATCATGTGACTCTGTATCATGTGACCGTGTCATGTGACCGTGTCATGTGACCGTGTCATGTGACCGTGTCATGTGACTCTGTGTCATGTGACTCTGTCATGTGACCTGTCAAGTGACTCTGTGTCATGTGACTCTATATCATGTGACCGTGTCATGTGACCCTGTCGTGTGACCCTGTCGTGTGACTCTGTGTCATGTGACCCTGTGTCATGTGACCCTGTCTCATGTAACCCTGTCATGTGACCCTGTATCATGTGACCCTGTCATGTGACTCTGTATCATGTGACCGTGTCATGTAACCCTGTCATGTGACCCTGTCATGTGACCCTGTATCATGTGACCCTGTCATGTGACCCTGCGTCATGTGACCCTGTATCATGTGACCCTGTCATGTGACCCTGCGTCATGTGACCCTGTCATGTGACCCTGTGTCATGTGACCCTGCGTCATGTGACCCCGTCTCATGTGACCCTGTCTCATGTGACCCTGTGTCGTGTGACCCTGTCATGTGACCCTGTCATGTGACCCTGTGTCATGTGACTCTGTGTGACAGCCGAATCACCTGGGCATCATCAACACTCGAATGTCTCCCAAGCAGCTCGTGGAGAAGTGTGCAGAGTTTGCACGGTGAGGGACTCACCAAATCACTCACCAAATCACCAAATCACTCACCAAATCACTCACCAAATCACCAACTCACTCACCAACTCACTCACCAACTCACTCACCAACTCACCAACTCACTCACCAACTCACTCACCAACTCACTCACCAACTCACTCACCAAATCACTCACCAAATCACTCACCAACTCACCAACTCACTCACCAAATCACTCACCAAATCACTCACCAACTCACCAACTCACTCACCAACTCACCAACTCACTCACCAAATCACTCACCAAATCACTCACCAAATCACTCACCAACTCACCAACTCACTCACCAACTCACTCACCAAATCACTCACCAACTCACCAACTCACTCACCAACTCACCAAATCACTCACCAAATCACTCACCAAATCACTCACCAAATCACTCACCAACTCACCAACTCACTCACTCACCAACTCACCAAATCACTCACCAAATCACTCACCAAATCACTCACCAAATCACGCACCAAATCACTCACCAACTCACCAAATCACTCACCAAATCACTCACCAACTCACCAAATCACTCACCAACTCACCAACTCACTCACCAACTCACTCACCAACTCACTCACCAACTCACTCACCAAATCACTCACCAAATCACTCACCAAATCACTCACCAAATCACTCACCAAATCACTCACCAACTCACCAACTCACTCACCAACTCACTCACCAACTCACTCACCAACTCACTCACCAAATCACTCACCAAATCACTCACCAAATCACTCACCAAATCACTCACCAACTCACCAAATCACTCACCAAATCACTCACCAACTCACCAAATCACTCACCAACTCACCAACTCACTCACCAACTCACTCACCAACTCACTCAACAACTCACCAACTCACTCACCAACTCACTCACCAACTCACTCACCAACTCACCAACTCACTCACCAACTCACTCACCAACTCACTCACCAAATCACTCACCAAATCACTCACCAAATCACTCACCAAATCACTCACCAAATCACTCACCAACTCACCAACTCACTCACCAACTCACTCACCAACTCACCAACTCACTCACCAACTCACTCACCAACTCACTCACCAACTCCCTCACCAACTCACTCACTCACCAACTCACTCACCAACTCACTCACCAACTCACTCACCAACTCACTCACCAACTCACTCACCAACTCACTCACCAACTCACTCACCAACTCACTCACCAACTCACTCACCAACTCACTCACCAACTCACTCACCAACTCACTCACCAACTCACTCACCAACTCACTCACCAACTCACTCACCAACTCACTCACCACTCACTCACCAACTCACTCACCAACTCACTCACCAACTCACTCACCAACTCACTCACCAACTCACTCACCAACTCACTCACCAACTCACCAACTCACTCACCACTCACCAACTCACTCACCAACTCACTCACCAACTCACTCACCAACTCACTCACTCACTCACCAACTCACTCACCAACTCACTCACCAACTCACCAACTCACTCACCAACTCACTCACCAACTCACTCACCAACTCACTCACCAACTCACTCACCAACTCACTCACCAACTCACTCACCAACTCACTCACCAACTCACCAACTCACTCACCAACTCACTCACCAACTCACTCACCAACTCACTCACCAACTCACCAACTCACTCACCAACTCACTCACCAACTCACTCACCAACTCACCAACTCACTCACCAACTCACTCACCAACTCACTCACCAACTCACTCACTCACTCACCAACTCACTCACCAACTCACTCACCAACTCACTCACCACTCACCAACTCACTCACCAACTCACTCACCAACTCACTCACCACTCACCAACTCACTCACCAACTCACTCACCAACTCACTCACCACTCACCAACTCACTCACCAACTCACTCACTCACTCACCAACTCACTCACCAACTCACTCACCAACTCACTCACCAACTCACTCACCAACTCACTCACCAACTCACTCACCAACTCACCAACTCACTCACCAACTCACTCACCAACTCACTCACCAACTCACTCACCAACTCACTCACCAACTCACTCACCAACTCACTCACCAACTCACTCACCAACTCACTCACCAACTCACCAACTCACTCACCACTCACTCACCAACTCACTCACCAACTCACCAACTCACTCACAACTCACTCACCCACTCACCAACTCACTCACAACTCACTCACCAACTCACTCACCACTCACTCACCAACTCACTCACCAACTCACTCACTCACTCACTCACTCACTCACCAACTCACTCACCAACTCACTCACTCACTCACCAACTCACTCACCAACTCACTCACCAACTCACTCACCAACTCACTCACCAACTCACTCACCAACTCACTCACCAACTCACTCACCAAATCACTCACCAACTCACTCACCAACTCACTCACCAACTCACTCACCAACTCACTCACCAACTCACTCACCAACTCACTCACCAACTCACTCACCAACTCACTCACCAACTCACTCACACACTCACTCACTCACTCACTCACCAACTCACTCACCAACTCACTCACCAACTCACTCACCAACTCACCACTCACTCACCAACTCACTCACCACTCACTCACCAACTCACTCACCAACTCACTCACCAACTCACTCACCACTCACTCACCAACTCACTCACCAACTCACTCACCAACTCACCACTCACTCACCAACTCACTCACCAACTCACTCACCAACTCACTCACCAACTCACTCACCACTCACTCACCAACTCACTCACCAACTCACCAACTCACTCACCAACTCACTCACCAACTCACCAACTCACTCACCAACTCACTCACCAACTCACTCACCAACTCACCAACTCACTCACTCACCAACTCACTCACCAACTCACCAACTCACTCACCAACTCACTCACCAACTCACTCACCAACTCACTCACCAACTCACTCACTCACTCACCAACTCACTCACCAACTCACTCACCAACTCACTCACCAACTCACTCACTCACTCACCAACTCACTCACCAACTCACTCACTCACCAACTCACTCACCAACTCACTCACCAACTCACTCACCAACTCACCAACTCACTCACCAACTCACTCACCAACTCACTCACCAACTCACTCACCAACTCACTCACCAACTCACTCACCAACTCACCAACTCACTCACCAACTCACTCACCAACTCACTCACCAACTCACTCACTCACTCACCAACTCACTCACCAACTCACTCACCAACTCACTCACCAACTCACTCACCAACTCACTCACCAACTCACTCACCAACTCACCACTCACTCACCAACTCACTCACCAACTCACTCACCACTCACTCACCAACTCACTCACCAACTCACTCACCAACTCACCAGGCCACTCACCAACTCACTCACCAACTCACTCACCAACTCACCAACTCACTCACCAACTCACTCACCAACTCACTCACCAACTCACCAACTCACTCACCAACTCACTCACCAACTCACTCACCAACTCACCAACTCACTCACCAACTCACTCACCAACTCACTCACCAACTCACTCACCACTCACTCACCAACTCACTCACTCACCAACTCACTCACCACTCACTCACCAACTCACCAACTCACTCACCAACTCACTCACCAACTCACTCACCAACTCACTCACCAACTCACTCACCAACTCACAAACTCACTCACCAAATCACTCACCAACTCACTCACCAACTCACCAACTCACTCACCAACTCACTCACCAACTCACTCACCAACTCACTCACCAAATCACTCACCAACTCACTCACCAACTCACTCACCAACTCACTCACCAACTCACTCACTCACTCTCCAACTCACTCACTCACCAACTCACTCACCAACTCACTCACCAACGCACTCACCAACTCACCAACTCACTCACCAACTCACTCACCAACTCACCACCTCACTCACCAACTCACTCACCACTCACTCACAAAAGCATCACCAAATCACTCACCAAATCACTCACCAAATCACTCACCAAATCACTCACCAAATCACCAACCAACTCACCAACCACTCACCAACTCAACTCACCAACTCACTACTCACCAACTCACTCACCAACTCACTCACCAAATCACTCACCAAATCACTCACCAACTCACTCACCAACTCACTCACCAACTCACTCACCAACTCACTCACCAACTCACTCACCAACTCACTCACCAACTCACTCACCAACTCACTCACCAACTCACTCACCAACTCACTCACCAACTCACTCACCAACTCACTCACCAACTCACTCACCAACTCACTCACTCACCAACTCACTCACCAACTCACTCACCAACTCACTCACCAACTCACCAACTCACTCACCAACTCACTCACCAACTCACTCACCAACTCACTCACCAACTCACTCACCAACTCACTCACCAACTCACTCACCAACTCACTCACCAACTCACTCACCAACTCACTCACTCACCAACTCACTCACCAACTCACTCACCAACTCACTCACCAACTCACTCACCAACTCACTCACTCACCACTCACTCACCACTCACTCACCAACTCACTCACCAACTCACTCACCAATCACTCACTCACCAACTCACTCACCAACTCACTCACCACTCACCACTCACTCACCAACTCTCACCAACTCACTCACCAACTCACTCAACTCACTCACCAACTCACTCACCAACTCACATCACCAACTCACTCCACACTCACTCACCAACTCACTCACCCACTCACCAACTCACTCACCACCACTCACTCACCAACTCACTCCAACGTCACTCACCAAACTCACTCACTCACTCACCAACTCACTCACCAACTCACTCACCAACTCACTCACCAACTCACTCACTCACTCACCAACTCACTCACCAACTCACTCACCAACTCACTCACCAACTCACTCACCAACTCACCAACTCACTCACCAACTCACGCACCAACTCACTCACCAACTCACTCACCCCACTCACCACTCACTCACGCAACTCACTCACCAACTCACTCACCACTCACCAACTCACTCACCAACGTCACTCAACTCACTCACCAACTCACTCACCAACTCACTCACCAACTCACCAACTCACTCACCAACTCACTCACCAACTCACTCACACAACTCACTCACCAACTCACCACAATCACTCACCAACTCACTCACCAACTCACTCACAACTCACTCACCAACTCACTCACCAAATCACTCACCAACTCACTCACCAACTCACTCACCACCCACCAACTCACTCACCAACTCACCACTCACTCACCAACTCACTCACCAAATCACTCACCAACTCACTCACCAACTCACCAACTCACTCACCAACTCACTCACCAACTCACTCACCAACTCACCAACTCACTCACCAACTCACTCACCAACTCACCAACTCACTCACCAACTCACTCACCAACTCACTCACCAACTCACTCACCAACTCACCAACTCACCAACTCACTCACCAACTCACTCACCAACTCACTCACCAACTCACCAACTCACTCACCAACTCACTCACCAACTCACCAACTCACCAACTCACTCACCACTCACTCACCAACTCACTCACCAACTCACTCAACTCACTCACCAACTCACTCACCAAATCACTCACCAACTCACTCACCAACTCACCCAACTCACTCACCAACTCACTCACCAACTCACTCACCAACTCACCAACTCACTCACCAACTCACTCACCAACTCACTCACCACTCACCAACTCACTCACCAACTCACTCACTCACTCACCAACTCACTCACCAACTCACTCACCAACTCACTCACCAACTCACTCACCAACTCACTAACTCACTCACCAACTCACCAACTCACTCACCAACTCACTCACCAACTCACTCACCAACTCACTCACCAACTCACTCACCAACTCACCAACTCACTCACCAACTCACTCACCAACTCACTCACCAACACACCAACTCACTCACCAACTCACTCACCAACTCACTCACCAACTCACCAACTCACTCACTCACCAACTCACTCACCAACTCACCAACTCACTCACCAACTCACCAACTCACTCACCAACTCACTCACCAACTCACTCACCAACTCACTCACCAACTCACTCACTCACCACTCACTCACCAACTCACTCACCAACTCACCAACTCACTCACCAACTCACTCACCAACTCACTCACCAACTCACTCACCAACTCACTCACCAACTCACTCACCAACTCACTCACCAACTCACTCACCAACTCACTCACTCACTCACCAACTCACTCACCAACTCACTCACCAACTCACTCACACTCACTCACCACTCACTCACCAACTCACTCACCAACTCACTCACCAACTCACTCACCAACTCACTCACTCACTCACCAACTCACTCACCAACTCACCAACTCACTCACCAACTCACTCACCAACTCACTCACCAACTCACCAACTCACTCACCAACTCACTCACCAACTCACTTACTCACCAACTCACTCACCAACTCACTCACCAACTCACTCACCAACTCACTCACCACTCACTCAACTCAACTCACCAACTCACTCACCAACTCACTCACCAACTCACTTCACCAACTCACTCACCAACTCACTCACCAACTCACTCACCAACTCACTCACCAACTCACTTACTCACCAACTCACTCACCACTCACCAACTCACTCACCAACTCACTCACCAACTCACTCACCAACTCACTCACCAACTCACTCACCAACTCACTCACCACTCACCAACTCACTCACCAACTCACCAACTCACTCACCAACTCACTCACCAACTCACCAACTCACTCACTCACTCACCAACTCACTCACCAACTCACTCACCAACTCACCAACTCACTCACCAACTCACTCACCAACTCACCAACTCACTCACCAACTCACTCACCAACTCACTCACCAACTCACTCACCAACTCACCAACTCACTCACCAACTCACCAACTCACTCACCAACTCACTCACCAACTCACTCACCACTCACCAACTCACTCACCAACTCACCAACTCACTCACCAACTCACTCACCACTCACTCACCACTCACCAACTCACTCACCAACTCACTCACCAACTCACTCACCAACTCACTCACCAACTCACCAACTCACTCACCAACTCACTCACCAACTCACTCACCAACTCACCAACTCACTCACCAACTCACTCACCAACTCACTCACTCACCAACTCACTCACCAACTCACTCACCAACTCACTCACCAACTCACTCACCAACTCACCAACTCACTCACCAACTCACTCACCAACTCACTCACCAACTCACTCACTCACCAACTCACTCACCATGTCACTCACCAACTCACTCACCATCTCACTCACCATCTCACTCACTCACCAACTCACCAACTCACTCACCAACTCACTCACCATGTCACTCACTCACCAACTCACTCACCAACTCACTCACCATCTCACTCACCAACTCACCAACTCACTCACCAACTCACCAATGCACTCACCCACTCACTCACCCACCCACTCACTCACCCACCCACCCACTCACCCACCCACTCACCCACCCACTCACCAACTCACCAACTCACTCACATGGTGAGTGGTTCTGTCCTCACTGTAGGGGCAAGTGCTGTTAACTAGCGAGTAGCAGCAGCAGTGTCTATGTACTACACACACTACACACACCGACAAAGCTACCCCCAGGTAGCCTCTAGCAGGGCTGTAGGGGCAAGTGCTGTTAGTAATAGCGAGTAGCAGCAGCAGTGTCTATGTACTACACACACCACACACAGACAAAGCTCCTCCAGGTAGCCTCTAGCAGGGCTGTAGGGGCAAGTGTTGTTAGCTAGCGAGTAGTAGCAGCAGTGTCTATGTACTACACAGACAAAGCTCCCCCAGGTAGCCTCTAGCAGGGCTGTAGGGGCAAGTGCTGTTAGCTGACGAGCAGCAACAGCAGTGTCTATGTACTACACACACCACACACACAGACAAAGCTCCCCCAGGTAGCCTCTAGCAAGGCTGTAGGGGCAAGTGCTGTTAGCTAGCGAGTATCAGCAGCAGTGTCTATGTACTACACACACCACACACAGACAAAGCTCCCCCAGGTAGCCTCTAGCAGGGCTGTAGGGGCAAGTGCTGCTAGCTAGCGAGTAGCAGCAGCAGTGTCTATGTACTACACACTCCACACACACAGACAAAGCTCCCCCAGGTAGCCTCTAGCAGGGCTGTAGGGGCAAGTGCTGTTAGCTAGCGAGTAGCAGCAGCAGTGTCTATGTACTACACACACCACACACACAGACAAAGCTACCCCAGGTAGCCTCTAGCAGGGCTGTAGGGGCAAGTGCTGTTAGCTAGTGAGTAGCAGCAGCAGTGTCTATGTACTACACACACCACACACAGACAGACAAAGCTCCCCCAGGTAGCCTCTAGCAGGGCTGTAGGGGCAAGTGCTGTTAGCTAGCGAGTAACAGCAGCAGTGTCTATGTACTACACACACCAGACAAAGCTCCCCCAGGTAGCCTCTAGCAGGGCTGTAGGGGCAAGTGCTGTTAGCTAGCGAGTAGCAGCAGCAGTGTCTATGTACTACACACACCACGCACACACACACACAGACACAGACAAAGCTCCCCCAGGTAGCCTCTAGCACGCTCTCGCCCCCCCCCCCCGCCGCCCCCTCCGCTGGATCAGGCGCGTGACGGAGCGTCGTTTCGGGTCAGCGCCCTCCGTCCGTGTGACCGGACATGTGGCCGCCTGCTTCCCGTACATCCAAGCACCGCTGGAATATGTCCTACCTGAGCTGCTGGTGAATGCCATGCGGTGAGGACTTTGTGTTGGTGTGTGTGGGTGTGTTGGTGTGTTGGTGTGTGTGTTGGTGTGTGTGTTGGTGTGTTGGTGTGTTGGTGTGTGTGTGTGTGTGTTGGTGTGTGTGTGTTGGTGTGTGTGTTGGTGTGTGTGTTGGTGGGTGTGTGTTGGGGTGTGTGTGTGTTTGTGTGTGTGTGTTGGTGTGTTGGTGTGTGTGTTGGTGTGTGTGTGTGTTGGTGTGTGTGTTGGTGTGTGTGTTGGTGTGTTGGTGTGTTGGTGTGTGTGTTGGTGTGTGTGTTGGTGTGTGTGTGTTGGTGTGTGTTGGTGTGTGTGTGTGTGTTGGTGTGTTGGTGTGTGTGTGTGTTGGTGTGTGTGTGTTGGTGTGTGTGTTTGTGTGTGTTGGTGTGTGTGTGTGTTGGTGTGTCTTGGTGTGTGTGTTGGTGTGTTGGTGTTGGTGTGTGTGTGTGTTGGTGTGTGTGTGTGTTGGTGTGTGTGTGTGTTGGTGTGTGTGTTGGTGTGTGTGTGTGTTGGTGTGTGGGTGTGTGTGTTGGTGTGTGTGTTGGTGTGTGTTGGTGTTGGTCTGTGTGTGTGTTGGTGTGTTGGTGTGTGTGTTGGTGGGTGTTGGTGTGTGTGTTGGTGTGTGTGTGTTGGTGTGTGTGTGTTGGTGTGTGTGTGTTGGTGTGTTGGTGTGTGTGTGTTGGTGTGTGTGTGTGTGTTGGTGTGTGTGTTGGTGTGTGTGTGTGTTGGTGTGTGTGTTGGTGTGTGTGTTGGTGTGTGTGTGTTGGTGTGTGTGTTGGTGTTGGTGTGTTGGTGTGTGTGTGTTGGTGTGTTTGTTGGGGTGTGTGTGTTGGTGTGTGTTGGTGTGTGTTGGTGTGTGTGTGTTGGTGGGTGTGTGTTGGTGTGTGTGTTGGTGTGTGTGTTGGTGTGTTGGTGTGTGTGTTGGTGTGTGTGTGTAGTGTGTGTGTGTTGGTGTGTGTTGCTGGGGTTTGTTTGTGTGTGTTGGTGGGGTTTGTGTGTTGGTGTGTGTGTGTTTGTGTGTGTGTGTTGGTGTGTGTTGGTGTGTGTGTTTGTGTGTGTTGGTGGGGTTTGTGTGTTGGTGTGTTGGTGTGTGTTGGTGTGTGTGTGTTGGTGTGTTGGTGTGTGTGTTGGTGTGTGTGTGTTGGTGTGTGTGTGTGTTGGTGTGTGTGTTGGTGTGTGTGTTGGTGTGTGTGTGTGTTGGTGTGTGTGTGTTGGTGTGTGTGTGTTGGTGTGTGTGTGTGTTGGTGTGTGTGTTGGTGTGTGTGTGTGTTGGTGTGTGTGTTGGTGGGTGTTGGTGTGTGTGTGTTGGTGTTTGTGTGTGTGTTGGTGTGTGTGTTGGTGTGTGTGTGTGTTGGTGTGTGTGTTGGTGTGTGTGTTGGTGTGTTGGTGTGTGTGTTGGTGTGTTGGTGTGTGTGTGTGTTGGTGTGTGTGTGTTGGTGTGTTGGTGTGTGTTGGTGTGTGTGTGTTGGTGTGTGTGTGTGTGTGTGTTGGTGTGTGTGTTGGTGTGTGTGTTGGTGTGTGTGTGTTGGTGTGTGTGTGTGTTGGTGTGTGTGTGTGTGTTGGTGTGTTGGTGTTGGTGTGTGTGTTGGTGTGTGTGTTGGTGTGTTGGTGTGTGTGTTGGTGTGTGTGTGTTGGTGTGTGTGTTGGTGTGTGTGTTGGTGTGTGTGTTGGTGTGTGTGTTGGTGGGTGGGTGTGTGTGTGTTGGTGTGTGTGTGTTGGTGTGTGTGTGTGTTGGTGTGTTGGTGTGTGTGTTGGTGTGTGTGTTGGTGTGTGTGTGTTGGTGTGTGTGTTGGTGTGTTGGTGTGTTGGTGTGTTGGTGTGTGTGTTGGTGTGTGTGTGTTGGTGTTGGTGTGTGTGTTGGTCTGTGTGTTGGTGTGTGTGTGTTGGTGTGTGTGTGTGCGTTGGTGTGTTTGTGTTGGTGTGTGTGTTGGTGTGTGGGTGTGTGTGTGTTGGTGTGTGTGTGTTGGTGTGTGTGTGTGTTGGTGTGTGTGTTGGTGTGTGTGTTGGTGTGTGTTGGTGTGTGTGTGTTGGTGTGTGTGTGTGTTGGTGTGTGTGTGTGTTGGTGTGTGTGTTGGTGTGTGTGTGCGTTGGTGTGTGTGTGTTGGTGTGTGTGTTGGTGTGTTGGTGTGTGTGTGTTGGAGTGTGTGTGTTGGTGTGTGTGTGTGTTGGTGTGTGTGTGTGTGTTGGTGTGTGTGTTGGTGTGTCTTGGTGTGTGTGTGTTGGTGTGTGTGTGTGTTGGTGTGTGTGTGTGTTGGTGTGTGTTGGTGTGTGTGTGTTGGTGTGTGTGTGTGTGTGTTGGTGTGTGTTGGTGTGTCTTGGTGTGTGTGTGTGGTGTGTGTGTGTGTTGGTGTGTGTGTTGGTGTGTGTGTTGGTGTGTGTGTGTGTTGGTGTAGCCCGAGTTGGTCATGATACTGGCACCTGGTCTGGAGTGATTGGAGGGCATGGGCCAGATCAGCTCAATAACAACGGTAGGAGGCTGCTAGATTTTTGTGCAGCCCATGGGCTTGTAATTACCAACACGCTGTTCCGGCATCGGCGCATCCACACAACATCATGGATGCATGCCGGGTCCAAGCAAGAACATCTGCTGGACTACATAGTGATGGACCAGCGGATGCGAGCCCATGTCCTTGACACCAGGACCTACCGTGGAGCTGATCTGCCCTCTGACCATCGACTAGTCATCTGTAAGATGCGCCTGCCATTCTTCCACTCCGGTGGTGGGTGTACACCCAGGACCCCTAATTCCAACATAAAGTGGCCTGGTCTCAGTTATCTGATGAAAGTTGCAAGCGAGAATTTCATCATCGCTTGCGGCTGGGGTTGGCATCGTCCCCGACTCCTCCTGATGTCGAGGGTAAATGGGCGAGGTTTAGGACTGTGACTCATGCAGCTGCAATGGCTGCTTTGGGTACGCGGTCCAGACCTCCCCAGAGACCCTGGCTGACAGAGGAGGTGTTCAGGATGGTTGAGAAAAAGCGACAGGCCCACTGTCATCGGCTACAGAATCCCACGTCAGAGAATGAGGAGGCTTACCGCAGCCTTCGCTCGGAGGTTCGGAGAGCCGTGAGGCACTGCAAGGATGGGTGGTGGTCGCGGGTTGCTGAGGAGATGGAGTCTGCCTCAGTGGCCCGTGATCACAAATCTCTATTTAACTCCATCAAAAAAGTAACCTGCAGCGCCACACCTATTACCATCATTAGGGGAAAAAACGGTGATCCAATCTCCGACCCCCAGGAACAGGTTCGCAGATTTGCTGAGCATTTCTGTGAGGTCCTGGGGGAGGGAAAATCCCTCAGCCAGGAAAACATCATGGCACAAAGTGAGGATGACCCTGCTGAGGCTGCGGTGCCTCAAATATTGGAAGAAGTTACCCCCTGTGAGTGGCTGGCTGAGGTGCCATCTGTTGAGGAAGTATTGAAGGCGATCCGGAGTCTGAGCCCAGGAAAGGCAGCGGGCAGAGATGATCTCCCAAGCGAAATGCTGAGGGAGGGTGGCGTTTGTGCACAGACTGCCCTATATGACATCATAACAACAGTCTGGACCACTGGACGGGTTCCGCAGGATTGGAAGGATGCCCTGGTGGTCCCCCTTTTTAAGAAGGGGGACCGCACAGACTGTAACAACTACAGGGGCATCTCACTCCTCAGTGTGCCGGGAAAGGTCCTGGCAAGGATTATTCAGCATCGCCTTGCCAGGCACGCTGAGGAGAGGCTTGCGGAGCCCCAATGCGGTTTCAGGAAAGGGCGGTCCTGCACAGATGCCATATTTTCTGTCCATCTGCTACAGCAGAGGTGTAGGGAATTCCAACAAGACCTACATCTCTGCTTTATTGACCTGGTCAAGGCCTATGATACCATCAGTAGGCCTGGGCTCTGGGTCGTTCTTCGTGCTTTTGGAGTACCTGACCCTCTGCTCACGATCATTAAGGACCTTCATGATGGTGAGCGGGCCCGGGTAAAACTACGTGGCCGGGAGTCAGAGCCATTCCCTGTACACCTTGGGGTGCGACAGGGATGTCCTCTGGCTCCCACATTATTTAACATCTATTTTGACCACGTAGTTCGTGAAGCCTTCAATAGCTGTACCGTGGGAATCTCCATATGGTACAGATATAATGGGAGGCTAATCGATGCCCGGGTGCGGTCAAGGGATGGCTCCCTATTGCTCAACCACGTTATGTATGCTGATGATTTGGTAATAGCTGTTCAGTCAGAGGAGGAGTTGGAGACGCTGCTGCTGAGACTGGAGCGTGCCACTAAGAGGTGGGGCCTTACCATCAGCCCCACCAAAACTAAGCACCTGCCTGGGTATTTTGTACCATCGGACAATCCACCCCCACAACTCCCAATCGGTGATGGGGCAGTTGTGGAGAGAGTGGAGAGTTTCCCATACCTGGGCAGTGTGCTTATGACTGGCTCCAGTTTAACAGCAGAGGTCTCACTCCGAATCAGTCGAGCGGCAATATCTTTTCATCGGTTGCGTAACGCTGTGTGGAAGCTACCTGGTCTGTCGCTCCGCACTAAGCTTCAGGTCTTCTCGGCCACGGTCATTCCCTCCCTTCTCTACGCTTGCGAAACGTGGACCCCCCTAATGGAACATCTTCGCCGGTTAAAAACATTTAGGCTGGCCTGCCTACGATCCATCCTGGGTTTAACCAGACTGGATTGTGTGAGGAGCTCACAAATCCTTGAAAGATCTGGGCAGGGTCCCATCGGTGAGCTCCTCCGGCAGGCAAGGCTGCGATGGCTGGGTCATGTAGCCCGCATGCCCAGCCACCGCATGCCGAAACAGCTTTTGTTTGGCCGGATTGAGGGGGCTAAGCGGGCGCGGCACGGGCTAGAGAAGAGATGGAGTGATGTGGTACAGGAGGACGTGGAGCTGAGTGGACTTGCCGATGACTGGTACCAGCGGTGTCAAGATCGGCCTCTGTGGAGGAGGCTCGTGAAGGATGCTACTGGGCAGTTGGAGGCAGTTGCCCTCCAACAACAACGGAGGGCGGAGGAGCGACGCTCACAACAGCGAGCGGAGCGCCGGGTGGCTAAAGCACAGCAGGTTGGCACAGTAGGGGGCACAGGTGGTGCATCAGCCAGTCATCTCAGTCAGTCGACCCGTGGCACCTGGGTCTGCCCCGTGACCTCCTGCCAGCGGGCGTTCGACACTTCACGTGGCCTCAGGGTGCACATAGCCTGGCACAAGCGTCGTGGTGACGTCACCGCCACTTAGTGGCGAATGGCGGTTGTTGTTGTTGTTGTTGTTGTTGTGTCTATGTGTGTGTGTCTATGTGTGTGTCTATGTGTGTGTGTCTATGTGTGTGTGTGTGTGTGTCTATGTGTGTGTCTATGTGTGTGTGTGTGTGTCTATGTGTGTGTCTATGTGTGTGTGTCTATGTGTGTGTGTCTATGTGTGTGTGTCTATGTGTCTATGTGTGTGTGTGTGTCTATGTGTGTGTGTCTATGTGTGTGTGTCTATGTGTGTGTGTGTGTCTATGTGTGTGTCTGTGTGTGTCTATGTGTGTGTGTCTATGTGTGTGTGTCTATCTATGTGTGTGTCTATGTGTGTCTATGTGTGTGTCTATGTGTGTCTATGTGTGTGTCTATGTGTGTGTGTCTATGTGTGTTTGTCTATGTGTGTGTGTGTCTATGTGTGTGTGTCTATGTGTCTATGTGTCTATGTGTGTGTCTATGTGTGTGTGTCTATGTGTGTGTGTCTATGTGTGTGTGTGTGTCTATTTGTGTGTATATGTGTGTCTATGTGTGTGTCTATGTGTGTGTGTCTATGTGTGTCTATGTGTGTGTGTGTGTCTATGTGTGTGTCTGTGTGTGTGTGTGTCTATGTGTGTGTGTCTATGTGTGTGTCTGTGTGTGTGTCTATGTGTGTGTGTGTGTCTATGTGTGTGTCTATGTGTGTCTATGTGTGTGTCTATGTGTGTGTGTCTATGTGTCTATGTGTGTGTGTCTATGTGTGTGTGTCTATGTGTGTGTGTCTATGTGTCTATGTGTGTGTCTATGTGTGTGTGTCTATGTGTGTGTGTGTCTATGTGTGTCTATGTGTGTGTCTATGTGTGTCTATGTGTGTGTCTATGTGTGTGTGTGTCTATGTGTGTGTCTATGTCTATGTCTATGTGTGTGTGTCTATGTGTGTGTGTGTCTATGTGTGTGTGTCTATGTGTGTCTATCTATGTGTGTGTCTATGTGTGTGTGTCTATGTGTCTATGTGTGTGTGTGTGTGTCTATGTGTGTGTCTATGTGTGTGTGTGTCTATGTGTGTGTGTGTGTCTATGTGTGTGTGTCACTGTGTGTCTATGTGTCTATGTGTGTGTGTCTATGTGTGTGTGTGTCTATGTGTGTGTGTCTATGTGTGGGTGTCTATGTGTGTGTGTCTATGTGTGTGTGTCTATGTGTGTGTGTCTATGTGTGTCTATCTATGTGTGTGTCTATGTGTGTGTGTCTATGTGTCTATGTGTCTATGTCTATGTGTCTATGTGTGTGTGTCTATGTGTGTGTCTATGTGTCTATGTGTGTGTGTGTCTATGTGTGTGTGTGTCTATGTGTGTGTGCGATAGTGTAGCTGTTAGCGCTACGCTGCTGTGCTATGAACCTGGCGACCCGGGTTCGATTCCCGCTCACGGCCAACACCAGTGACGATTATCTGAACCGGTCCCGGGCCTCCCCTAGGTCGACTCAGCCTCAAATGAGTACCTGGTGCGGTGTGTAAACATTGCCACTAGGGAGACAAAGGCGGTCGGGCGTGGAGCTGGCCACCCACCGCCTCGTGTACCGTTTCCGGCCTTCATAGGTGCTCGCTAACAGCACTTGCCCCTACAGTCTGTTAAGGCTATATGGGGGATCTTTATCTTTGTCTTTGTGTGTCTATGGGCAGTGCCAGCATGCAATGCCACGTGGGGTCTGGGTCCAGCGTTCCTGACGTGGTGGTCACCATCGCCAACAACGACATCGACTTCATCTTCAGGTTCACACAGAGACCCATAGACATAGACACACACACCCATAGAGACCCTTAGACACACACAGACATAGACACACACACACCCATAGAGACCCTTACACACACAGAGAGACACACAGAGACTCACAGAGACACACAGAGACTCACAGACACCCATAGACACCCATAGAGACCCTTACACACACAGAGACTCACAGACACCCATAGAGACCCTTAGACACCCACAGAGACCCACAGACACCCACAGAGACACACAGAGACTCACAGACACCCATAGAGACCCTTACACACACAGAGACTCACAGACACCCATAGAGACCCTTACACACACAGAGACACACAGAGACCCACACTCACAGAGACACACAGAGACACACAGAGACACACAGAGACTCACAGAGACCCATAGAGACCCATAGAGACCCTTACACACACAGAGACACACAGACACCCATAGAGACCCTTACACACACAGAGACTCACAGACATAGACACACACACCCATAGAGACCCTTACACACACAGAGACTCACAGAGACCCACACTCACAGAGACCCATAGAGACACACAGAGACACACAGAGACACACAGACATAGACACACAGACACCCATAGAGACCCACAGAGACACACAGAGACCCACACTCACAGAGACTCACAGACATAGACACACACACCCATAGAGACCCTTACACACCCAGAGACCCTTACACACACACAGAGACCCACACTCACAGAGACCCACAGAGACACACAGAGACCCACAGAGACACACAGAGACCCACACTCACAGAGACTCACAGACATAGACACACACACCCATAGAGACCCTTACACACACAGAAACACACAGACACCCATAGAGACCCTTACACACACAGAGACACACAGAGACCCACAGAGACTCACAGAGACTCACAGAGACACACAGACACCCATAGAGACCCTTACACACACACAGAGACTCACAGACATAGACACACACACCCATAGAGACCCTTACACACACACAGAGACTCACAGACATAGACACACACACCCATAGAGACCCTTAGACACACACAGAGACCCACACTCACAGAGACCCATAGAGACACACAGAGACCCATAGACACCCATAGAGACCCTTAGACACACACAGAGACCCACAGAGACACACACTCACAGAGACCCACAGAGACCCTTACACACACAGAGACCCACAGAGACTCACAGACACCCATAGAGACCCTTACACACACACAGAGACTCACAGACATAGACACACACACCCATAGAGACCCTTACACACACAGAGACCCACAGAGACTCACAGACACCCATAGAGACCCTTACACACACAGAGACTCACAGACATAGACACACACACACCCATAGAGACCCTTAGACACACACAGAGACTCACAGACACCCATAGAGACCCTTAGACACCCACAGAGACACATAGAGACCCTTAGACACACACAGAGACTCACAGACACCCATAGAGACCCTTAGACACACACAGAGACTCACAGACACCCATAGAGACCCTTAGACTCACAGAGACTCACAGACACCCATAGAGACCCTTACACACACACAGAGACTCACAGAGACTCACAGAGACCCACACTCACAGAGACACACAGAGACACACATAGACCCACAGAGACACACAGAGACCCACAGAGACCCACAGAGACACACAGAGACTCACAGAGACTCACAGACACCCATAGAGACCCTTAGACACACATAGAGACACACAGAGACACACAGAGACCCACACTCACAGAGACCCACAGAGACACACAGAGACACACAGACTCACAGACACCCATAGAGACCCTTACACACACAGAGACTCACAGAGACTCACAGACACCCATAGAGACCCTTAGACACACACAGAGACACACAGAGACCCATAGAGACCCTTAGACACACACAGAGACTCACAGACACCCATAGAGACCCTTACACACACACAGAGACTCATGGAGACCCTTAGACACCCACAGAGACTCACAGAGACTCACAGACACCCATAGAGACCCTTAGACACACACAGAGACTCACAGAGACACACAGAGACACACATAGACACACAGAGACTCACAGAGACTCACAGACACCCATAGAGACCCTTAGACACACACAGAGACTCACAGAGACACACAGAGACACACAGAGACTCACAGAGACTCACAGACACCCATAGAGACCCTTAGACACACACAGAGACTCACAGAGACACACAGAGACACACAGAGACACACAGAGACTCACAGAGACTCACAGACACCCATAGAGACCCTTAGACACACACAGAGACTCACAGAGACACACAGAGACACACATAGACACACAGAGACTCACAGACACCCATAGAGACCCTTAGACACACAGAGACTCACAGAGACACACAGAGACACACATAGACACACAGAGACTCACAGACACCCATAGAGACCCTTAGACACACACAGAGACCCACAGAGACCCACAGAGACCCACAGAGACACACAGAGACTCACAGAGACTCACAGACACCCATAGAGACCCTTAGACACACAGAGACCCACAGAGACACACAGAGACTCACAGACACCCATAGAGACCCTTAGACACACACAGAGACTCACAGAGACACATAGAGACCCACACTCACAGAGACCCACAGAGACACACAGAGACACACAGACACACAGACACCCATAGAGACCCTTAGACACACAGAGACACACAGAGACTCACAGAGACACACAGTGACCCTTAGACACACAGAGACTCACAGACACCCATAGAGACCCTTAGACACACACAGAGACTCACAGACACCCATAGAGACCGTTAGACACCCACAGAGACTCACAGACACCCATAGAGACCCTTAGACACACACAGAGACTCACAGACACCCATAGAGACCCTTAGACACACACAGAGACTCACAGACACCCATAGAGACCCTTAGCCACACACAGAGACTCACAGAGACCCACAGAGACACACAGACACAGACACCCATAGAGACCCTTAGACACACACAGAGACTCACAGAGACACACAGAGATGCACAGAGACCCACAGACACACACAGAGACTCACAGACACCCATAGAGACCCTTAGACACACAGAGACCCACAGAGACTCACAGACACCCATAGAGACCCTTAGACACCCACAGAGACTCACAGAGACCCACAGAGACACACAGAGACCCACACTCACAGAGACCCACAGAGACACACAGAGACACACAGAGACCCACACTCACAGAGACCCACAGAGACACACAGAGACACCCTTAGACACACAGAGACACACAGAGACTCACAGACACCCATAGAGACCCTTAGACACCCACAGAGACTCACAGAGACCCACAGAGACACACAGAGACACACAGAGACCCACAGAGACACACAGAGACACACAGACACCCATAGAGACCCTTAGACTCACAGAGACTCACAGACACCCATAGAGACCCTTAGACACACACAGAGACTCACAGACATCCATAGAGACCCTTAGACACCCACAGAGACTCACAGACACCCATAGAGACCCTTAGACACACAGAGACCCACAGAGACCCACAGACACCCATAGAGACCCTTAGACACACAGAGACACACAGAGACACACAGACACCCATAGATACCCTTAGACACACACAGAGACTCACAGACACCCATAGAGACCCTTAGACTCACAGAGACTCACAGACACCCATAGAGACCCTTAGACACGCAGAGACACACAGAGACTCACAGACACCCATAGAGACCCTTAGACACACACAGAGACTCACAGAGACCCACAGAGACACACAGAGACACACAGAGACTCACAGACACCCATAGAGACCCTTAGACACACAGAGACCCACAGAGACCCACAGAGACACACAGAGACACACAGAGACACACAGAGACTCACAGAGACTCACAGACACCCATAGAGACCCTTAGACACACACAGAGACTCACAGAGACACACAGAGACACACATAGACACACAGAGACTCACAGACACCCATAGAGACCCTTAGACACACAGAGACTCACAGAGACACACAGAGACACACATAGACACACAGAGACTCACAGACACCCATAGAGACCCTTAGACACACACAGAGACCCACAGAGACCCACAGAGACCCACAGAGACACACAGAGACTCACAGAGACTCACAGACACCCATAGAGACCCTTAGACACACAGAGACCCACAGAGACACACAGAGACTCACAGACACCCATAGAGACCCTTAGACACACACAGAGACTCACAGAGACACATAGAGACCCACACTCACAGAGACCCACAGAGACACACAGAGACACACAGACACACAGACACCCATAGAGACCCTTAGACACACAGAGACACACAGAGACTCACAGAGACACACAGTGACCCTTAGACACACAGAGACTCACAGACACCCATAGAGACCCTTAGACACACACAGAGACTCACAGACACCCATAGAGACCGTTAGACACCCACAGAGACTCACAGACACCCATAGAGACCCTTAGACACACACAGAGGCTCACAGACACCCATAGAGACCCTTAGACACACACAGAGACTCACAGACACCCATAGAGACCCTTAGCCACACACAGAGACTCACAGAGACCCACAGAGACACACAGACACAGACACCCATAGAGACCCTTAGACACACACAGAGACTCACAGAGACACACAGAGATGCACAGAGACCCACAGACACACACAGAGACTCACAGACACCCATAGAGACCCTTAGACACACAGAGACCCACAGAGACTCACAGACACCCATAGAGACCCTTAGACACCCACAGAGACTCACAGAGACCCACAGAGACACACAGAGACCCACACTCACAGAGACCCACAGAGACCCACAGAGACACACAGAGACCCACACTCACAGAGACCCACAGAGACACACAGAGACACCCTTAGACACACAGAGACACACAGAGACTCACAGACACCCATAGAGACCCTTAGACACCCACAGAGACTCACAGAGACCCACAGAGACACACAGAGACACACAGAGACCCACAGAGACACACAGAGACACACAGACACCCATAGAGACCCTTAGACTCACAGAGACTCACAGACACCCATAGAGACCCTTAGACACACACAGAGACTCACAGACATCCATAGAGACCCTTAGACACCCACAGAGACTCACAGACACCCATAGAGACCCTTAGACACACAGAGACCCACAGAGACCTACAGACACCCATAGAGACCCTTAGACACACAGAGACACACAGAGACACACAGACACCCATAGATACCCTTAGACACACACAGAGACTCACAGACACCCATAGAGACCCTTAGACTCACAGAGACTCACAGACACCCATAGAGACCCTTAGACACGCAGAGACACACAGAGACTCACAGACACCCATAGAGACCCTTAGACACACACAGAGACTCACAGAGACCCACAGAGACACACAGAGACACACAGAGACTCACAGACACCCATAGAGACCCTTAGACACACAGAGACCCACAGAGACCCACAGAGACACACAGAGACACACAGAGACACACAGACACCCATAGAGATCCTTAGACACCCATAGAGACACACAGAGACACACAGAGACCCACAGAGACTCAGACACCCATAGAGACACTTAGACACCCATAGAGACACAGAGACACACAGAGACCCACAGAGACCCACAGAGACACACAGAGACTCACAGAGACTCACAGACACCCATAGAGACCCACAGAGACACATAGAAACCCTCAGAGACCCACAGAGACACACAGAGACCCACAGAGACCCACAGAGACACACAGAGACACACAGACCCACAGAGACCCACAGAGACTCACAGACACCCATAGATACCCTTAGACACCCATAGAGACCCACAGCGACACACAGAGACTCACAGACACCCATACAGACCCATAGAGACCCCATAGAGACACACAGAGACTCACAGACACCCTTAGACGCCCATAGAGACCCACAGAGACCCACAGAAACCCACAGAAACCCACAGAGACCCACAGAAACACACAGAGACTCACATACACACATAGAGACCCATAGACACCCATAGAAACCCACAGAGACACACAGAGACTCACAGAGACCCATAGAAACCCACAGAGACACACAGAGACACACAGAGACACACATAGACTCACAGCCACCCAAAGAGACCCACAGACACCCACAGAGACTCACAAACACCCATAGAGACCCTAGGAGACTGACACAGACCCACATAGACCCACAGAGACACACAGAGACCCACAGAAACCTACAGAATCCCACGGAAACCCACAGAGACCCACAGAACCCCACAAACCCACATCGACCCACAGAGACACACAGAACCCCACAGAAACCCACAGAAATACAAATAACCCCACAGAAACCCACAGAGACCCACAGAGACCCACATAACCCCACAGAAACCCACAGAGATCCACAGAAACCCACAGAGACCCATATAACCCCACAGAGACCCACATAAACCTACAGCGACCCACAGAGACCCACAGAGACCCACAGAAACCCACATAAACCTACAGAGACTCACAGAGACCCACAGAAACCCACAGAGACCCACATAAACCTACAGAAACCCACAGAAACACATAGAGACCCATAGAGACCCACAGAGACACACAGAGATTCATAGAGACTCACAGACTCCCATAGAGACCCTATAGAGACCCATAGAGACCCTATAGAGACCCATAGAGACACAGATTCACAGACACCCATAGAGACCCCATAGAGACCCACATAGACGCACAGAGACTCACAGACACCCATAGAGACCCATAGACACCAACAGATACACACAGAGACACAGAGAGACTCACAGACACCCATAGAGACCCCATAGAGACGCACAGAGACAAACAGAGACCCACAGAGAGAGACAGAGACTCACAGACACCCATAGAGACCCATAGAGACCCACAGAGACACACAGAGACACAGAGACTCACAGACACCCATAGAAACCCATAGAGACCCACAGAGACACACAGAGACTCACAGACACCCATAGAGACCCATAGACACCCATAGACACCCACAGAGATGCACAGAGATCCACAGAAACCCACAGAGACCCATATAACCCCACAGAGACCCACATAAACACAAACACCCATAGAGACCCTTAGAGACTGACACAGACCCACAGAGACCCACAGAGACCCACAGAGACACACAGAGACTCACAGACACCCATAGAGACCCATCGAGACCCACAGAGACACACAGAGACTCACAGACACCCACAGAGACCCACAGAGACCCACAGAGACACACAGAATCCCACGGAAACCCACAGAGACCCCACAGAAACCCAAAGAGACTCACAGAACCCCACAAACCCACAGCGACCCACAGAGACACACAGAAACCTACAGAATCCCGCAGAAACTCACAGAAACACAAATAACCCCACAGAAACCCACAGAACCCCACAGAGACCCACAGAAACCCACAGAACCCCACAGAGACCCACAGAGAGCCACAGAAACACACAGAGACTCACATACACACATAGAGACCCATAGACACCCATAGAAACACACAGACACCCACAGAGACACACAGAGACACACAGAGACACAGAAACCCACAGAACCCCACAGAAACCCAAAGAGACCCAGAGAACACCACAAACCCACAGCGACCCACAGAGACACACAGAAACCTACAGAACCACACAGAAACCCACAGAAATACAAATAACCCCACAGAAGCCCACAAAGACCCACATAAACCAACAGAAACCCTCAGAAACCCACAGAAACCCACAGAGACCCACAGAGACCCACAGACACCCATATAACCCCACAGAGACCCACAGAACCCCACAGAAACCCACGAATACCCATAGAGACCCATAGAGACTCACAAACACCCATAGAGACCCACAGAGACCCACAGAGACACACAGAGACCCACAGAGACCCACAGAAACCCACAGAGACACACATAGACCCACAGAAACCCACAGAATCCCACAGACCCACAGAGATACACAGACCCACAGAGACCCAAATAAACTCATAGAGACCCACATAACCCCACATAACCCCACAGATACCCACAGAAACCCACAGAGACCTACAGAAACCCACAGAACCCCACAGAGACCCACAGACCCACAGAGATACACAGAGACCCACAGAGACCCAAATAACCTCATAGAGACCCACGTAACCCCACAGCAACCCACAGAAACTCACAGAGACCCACAGAAACCCACAGAAACCCACAGAGATGCACATAAACCTACAGAGACACACAGAGACCCACAAAAACCCACAGAAACCCACACAACCCCACAAAAACCCACAGAGACCCACAGAAACCCACATAGACCCACATAACCCCACAGAGACTCACAGAAACCCACAGAGACCTATAGAAACCCACATAAACCCACAGAACCCCACAGAGACCCACAGAAACCCCTAGATACCCACATAACCCCACAGACACCCACAGAAACCCACAGAACCCCACAGAGATCCACAGAGACCCACAGAGACACACAGAGACGCACACAACCTTACAGAGACCCACATAGACCCACATAACCCCACAGAAACCCACAGAGACCCACAGAAACCCACAGGGACCCACAGAGACCCACAGAGACCCAAAGAAACTCATAGAGACCCACATAACCCCACAGAAACCCACAGAATCTCACATAGACCCACAGAGACCCACAGAAACCCACAGAGATGCACAGAAACCCACAAACCCACAGAAACCCACATAACCCCACAGAAACCCACAGAGACCTACAGAAACCCACAGAGACCCACATAACCCCACAGAGACCCACAGAGACCCACAGAGACCCACAGAAACACACAGAAACCCACAGGGACCCACAGAGATCCAAAGAAACCCACAGAGATGCACAGAAACCCACAGAGACCCACAAACCCACAGAAACCCATAGAACCCCACAGAAACCCACAGACCCACAGAGACCCACAGAAACCCACAGAAACTCACAGAGACCCACAGAACCCCACAGAAACCCACAGAACCCCACAGAACCCCACAGAAAATCACAGAGACCCACAGAACCCCACAGAAACCCACAGAAGCCCACAGAAACCCACCTAGACCCACAGAAACCCACAGAAACCCACAGAGACCCACAGAACCCCACAGCAACGCACAGAAACCCACAGAGACTCACAGAACCCCATATAACCGCACAGAGACCCACAGAAACCCACAGAGACCCACATAACCCCACAGAAACCCACAGAAACCCATAGAGACCCACAGAAACCCACCTAGACCCACATAAACCCACAGAAACCCATATAACCCCACAGAAACCCATATAACCCCACAGAAACCTACAGAAACCCATATAACCCCACAGAGACCCACATAAACCTACAGAAACCCACAGAGACCCACAGAAACCCACCTAGACCCACATAAACCCACAGAAACCTACAGAAACCCATATAACCCCACAGAGACCCACATAAACCCACAGAAACCCACAGAGACCCACAGAAACCCACAGAGACCCATAGAGACCCACAGAAACCCACAGAAACTAACGATTGACGTCCCTCCCAGGATATCCGACCGGGGCGGAGGGATACCGCACGAGGTTATGGGGCCCGCCATGGACTACTTTTTCACGACGGAGGCCGCGAGGGCTGAGGAGTGGCGTGGCGGTGACGGGGCCCAGTGGCAGGCGACTGAGGAGGAGGAGGAGGAGGAGGAGGCGGTGGAGGCAGTGGGCGGGATGAGCGACGCGGAGCGCCACATGGCGGAGAGCCGCTTACAGCATGGACCCTGGCACGGGTGGGTGGGGGGGTGAGTGGGTGGGTGGGTGGGTGGGTGAGTGGGTGGGGGGGTGGGTGGGTGGGTGGGTGAGTGGGTGGGTGGGTGGGGGGGGGGGGGGTGGGTGGGGGGGTGGGTGGGGGGGGGGGTGGGTGGGGGGGGGGTGGGTGGGGGGGGGGTGGGTGGGGGGGGTGGGTGGGTGGGTGGGGGGGGTGGGGGGGGGTGGGTGGGTGGGGGGGGTGGGTGGGTGAGTTGGTTGGATGAGTGGGTGTGGTGGGTGAGAGTGGGTGGGTGGGTGAGTGAGTGACTGACTGAGTGACTGAATGACTGACTGAGTGGCTGACTGACTGAGTGACTGACTGACTGAATGACTGACTGACTGCATGACTGACTGAATGACTGACTGACTGACTGAGTGATGGACTGACTGAGTGACTGACTGACTGAGTGACTGACTAAGTGACTGACTGAATGACTGAATGACTGACTGACTGAGTGGCTGACTGAGTGGCTGACTGAGTGATTGACTGACTGACTGCCTGACTGACTGACTGCCTGCCTGCCTGCCTGCCTGCCTGACTGCCTGCCTGCCTGACTGCCTGACTGCCTGCCTGACTGACTGCCTGACTGACTGACTGACTGCCTGCGTGACTGACTAAATTTATGACTGCCTGCCTGACTGACTGCCTGCCTGCCTGCCTGCCTGCCTGACTGCCTGCCTGACTGACTGCCTGACTGCCTGACTGCCTGACTGCCTGCCTGACTGCCTGACTGCCTGCGTGACTGACTAAATTAATGACTGCCTGCCTGACTGACTGCCTGCCTGACTGCCTGACTGCCTGACTGCCTACCTGACTGACTGCCTGACTGACTGACTGCCTGCGTGACTGACTAAATTAATGACTGCCTGCCTGACTGCCTGCGTGACTGACTGACTGCCTGCATGACTGACTAAATTAATGACTGCCTGCCTGCCTGCCTGACTGCGTGACTGCCTGCCTGACTGACTGACTGCCTGCCCGCCTGCCTGACTGACTGACTGACTGCCTGACTGACTGACTGCCTGACTGACTGACTGCCTGCGTGACTGACTAAATTAATGACTGACTGACTGAATGACTGACTGACTGAATGCCTGACTGACTGCCTGCCTGACTGTCTGCGTGACTGACTGACTGACTGACTGCCTGCCTGCCTGCCTGCGTGACTGACTGCCTGACTGCCTGCCTGACTGCCTGCCTGACTGCCTGCCTGCCTGCCTGACTGCCCGCCTGACTGCCTGCCTGCCTGACTGACTGACTGCCTGCCTGCCTGACTGCCTGCCTGCCTGACTGACTGCCTGCCTGCCTGCCTGCCTGACTGACTGCCTGCCTGACTGACTGACTGACTGCCTGCCTGCCTGACTGCCTGCCTGCCTGCCTGACTGCCTGCCTGCCTGCCTGACTGCCTGCGTGACTGACTGATTGACTGACTGCCCGCCTGCCTGACTGCCTGCCTGCCTGACTGACTGACTGCCTGACTGCCTGCCTGACTAAATTAATGACTGACTTGACTGACTGCCTGCGTGACTGACTGAGCGTCTCGCGCCAGGCACGGTGTGGGCCTGGCGCTGTCCAGAGCCTTTGGCGCCTTCTTGGGCGGCTCTCTGGCGCTGCGCTCCATGCAGGGCATCGGCACGGACGTCTACCTGCGCCTGCGGCACATCGACGGGCGCCAGCCCAGCTTCCGCCTGTAGCCCCTGGGGCACACCCAGCCACCGCCTGTAGCACCTGGGACACACCCAGCTTCCGCCTGTAGCCCCTGGGACACACACACACACCGCCTGTAGCACCTGGGACACACAGCCACCGCCTGTAGCACCTGGGGGACACACACCGCCTGTAGCACCTGGGAGACACACACACACAGCCACCGCCTGTAGCACCTGGGACACGCACAGCCTGTAGCACCTGGGGGACACACACACACACCGCCTGTAACACCTGGGGCACACACACACACCGCCTGTAGCACCTGGGGGAGACACACACCGCCTGTAGCATCTGGGACACACACAGCCACCGCCTGTAGCCCCTGGGGCACACACAGCCACCGCCTGTAGCACCTGGGACACACACACACACACCGCCTGTAGCACCTGGGGGACACACACACACACAGCCTGTAGCACCTGGGGCACACACACACACAGCCTGTAGCACCTGGGGCACACACACACACACACACCGCCTGTAGCACCTGGGACACACACACACACACACCGCCTGTAGCACCTGGGACACACACACACACACCGCCTGTAGCACCTGGGACACACACACACACACACCGCCTGTAGCACCTGGGGCACACCCAGCCACCGCCTGTAGCACCTGGGGGACACACACACCGCCTGTAGCACCTGGGGCACACCCAGCCACCGCCTGTAGCACCTGGGGGACACACAGCCACCGCCTGTAGCACCTGGGGGACACACACAGCCTGTAGCACCTGGGGCACACACACACACCGCCTGTAGCACCTGGGGGACACACCGCCTGTAGCACCTGGGACACACACCCAGCCACCGCCTGTAGCACCTGGGACACACACAGCCTGTAGCACCTGGGGCACACACAGCCACCGCCTGTAGCACCTGGGGGGACACACACACACCGCCTGTAGCACCTGGGACACACACACACACCGCCTGTAGCACCTGGGACACACACACACACACCGCCTGTAGCACCTGGGACACACACACAGCCTGTAGCACCTGGGACACACAGCCTGTAGCACCTGGGACACACACACACACACCGCCTGTAGCACCTGGGGGACACACACACACCGCCTGTAGCACCTGGGGGACACACACACACCGCCTGTAGCACCTGGGGGACACACACACACCGCCTGTAGCACCTGGGGGACACACACACACACAGCCTGTAGCACCTGGGGCACACACACACACCGTCTGTAGCACCTGGGACACACACACACACCGCCTGTAGCACCTGGGACACACACAGCCACCGCCTGTAGCACCTGGGGGAGACACACACACACACCGCCTGTAGCACCTGGGACACACACACCGCCTGTAGCACCTGGGACACACACAGCCACCGCCTGTAGCACCTGGGACACACACACACACACACCGCCTGTAGCACCTGGGGCACACACACACACACCGCCTGTAGCACCTGGGACACACACAGCCACCGCCTGTAGCACCTGGGACACCCAGCCACTGCCTGTAACACCGGGACACCCAGCCACCGCCTGTAACACCAAGACACCCAGCCACCGCCTGTAACACCAAGACACCCAGCCACCGCCTGTAACACCGGGACACCCAATGTGCCCACATTCCACGTGACGATGCCTGCTGCTGCTGCTGCTGTATATTTGGAGTCTGCGTCTCTCTCTGTCTCTCTCCCCGTCACTCCATCTCGCAAAGACAAAGATCCCCCAGGTAGCCTCTCGCAGGGCTATAGGGGCAAGTGCTGTTAGCTAGTGAGTAGCAGCACCTATACACAGACACAGATCTCCCAGGTAGCCTCTAGCAGGGCTGTAGGGGCAAGTGCTGTTAGCTGGCGAGTAGCAGCAGCAGTGTCTATGTACTACACACTCCACACACACAGACAAAGCTACCCCAGGTAGCCTCTAGCAGGGCTGTAGGGGCAAGTGCTGTTAGCTGGCGAGTAGCAGCAGCAGTGTCTATGTACTACACACACCACTCACACAGACAAAGTTACCCCAGGTAGCATCTAGCAGGGCTGTAGGGGCAAGTGCTGTTAGCTAGCGAGTAGCAGCACCTATACACAGACACAGATCTCCCAGGTAGCCTCTCGCAGGGCTGTAGGGGCAAGTGCTGTTAGCTGGCGAGTAGCAGCAGCAGTATCTATGTACTAGACACTCCACACAGACAAAGCTACTCCCAGGTAGCCTCTAGCAGGGCTGTAGGGGCAAGTGTTGTTAGCTAGCGAGTAGCAGCAGCAGTGTTTATGTACTACACACACCACACACACAGACAAAGCTCCCCCAGGTAGCCTCTAGCAGGGCTGCAGGGGCAAGTGCTGTTAGCTGGCGAGTAACAGCAGCAGTGTCTATGTACTAGACACTCCACACAGACAAAGCTACTCCCAGGTAGCCTCTAGCAGGGCTGCAGGGGCAAGTGCTGTTAGCTAGCGAGTAGCAGAACCTATACACAGACACAGATCCCCCAGGTAACCTCTAGCAGGGCTGTAGGGGCAAGTGCTGTTAGCTAGCGAGTAGCAGCAGTGTCTATGTACTACACACACCACACACACAGACAAAGCTACCCCCAGGTAGCCTCTAGCAGGGCTGTAGGGGCAAGTGCTGTTAGCTGGCGAGTAGTAGCAGCAGTGTCTATGTACTACACACACCACACACACAGACAAAGCTCCCCAGGTAGCCTCTAGCAGGGCTGTAGGGGCAAGTGCTGTTAGCTAGCGAGTAGCAGCACCTATACACAGACACAGATCTCCCAGGTAGCCTCTCGCAGGGCTGTAGGGGCAAGTGCTGTTAGCTGGCGAGTAGCAGCAGCAGTATCTATGTACTAGACACTCCACACAGACAAAGCTACTCCCAGGTAGCCTCTAGCAGGGCTGTAGGGGCAAGTGCTGTTAGCTGGCGAGTAGCAGCAGCAGTGTCTATGTACTACACACCACACACACAGACAAAGCTCCCCCAGGTAGCCTCTAGCAGGGCTGTAGGGGCAAGTGCTGTTACCTGGCGAGTAGCAGCAGCAGTGTCTATGTACTACACACTCCACACACACAGACAAAGCTCCCCCAGGTAGCCTCTAGCAGGGCTGCAGGGGCAAGTGCTGTTAGCTGGCGAGTAGCAGCAGCAGTGTCTATGTACTACACACTCCACACACACAGACAAAGCTCCCCCAGGTAGCCTCTAGCAGGGCTGCAGGGGCAAGTGCTGTTAGCTAGCGAGTAGCAGCAGCAGTGTCTATGTACTACACACACCACACACACAGACAAAGCTACCCCCAGGTAGCCTCTAGCAGGGCTGTAGGGGCAAGTGCTGTTAGCTAGCGAGTAGCAGCAGCAGTGTCTATGTACTACACACACCACGCACACAGACAAAGCTCCCCCAGGTAGCCTCTAGCAGGGCTGTAGGGGCAAATGCTGTTAGCTAGCGAGTAGCAGCAGCAGTGTCTATGTACTACACACTCCACACACACAGACAAAGCTCCCCCAGGTAGCCTCTAGCAGGGCTGCAGGGGCAAGTGCTGTTAGCTGGCGAGTAGCAGCAGCAGTGTCTATGTACTACACACACCACACACACAGACAAAGCTACCCCCAGGTAGCCTCTAGCAGGGCTGCAGGGGCAAGTGCTGTTAGCTAGCGAGTAGCAGCAGCAGTGTCTATGTACTACACACACCACGCACACAGACAAAGCTCCCCCAGGTAGCCTCTAGCAGGGCTGCAGGGGCAAGTGCTGTTAGCTACCGAGTAGCAGCAGCAGTGTCTATGTACTACACACACCACACACACAGACAAAGCTACCCTCAGGTAGCCTCTAGCAGGGCTGCAGGGGCAAGTGCTGTTAGCTAGCGAGTAGCAGCAGCAGTGTCTATGTACTACACACACCACACACAGATAAAGCTCCCCCAGGTAGCCTCTAGCAGGGCTGTAGGGGCAAGTGCTGTTAGCTGGCGAGTAGCAGCAGCAGTGTCTA